CAGCCCTCCAGCCCGCCACGCCCCCTTCTTGGAGCTGAGAACCTGAGAGCCAAGCGCAGGCCAAGTCCCGAGAGCTTGTGAAGTGAAGCGGAAGGATCCTCGAGGAGGCCGCTGGAAGACTGGCGCTACGGGGCTCCCAAGACCGGGTGAGGGCGGTTCTGGCTCTCCTGGAGTTTTACGTTTTCATGAACTTCCTCTGTGGTTCCGGGAGCTGGCTCCCCTCTCTGAGGGGAGCATTTGTGAAGATCAAAAATAAACAGCCCAGCCTTGGGCCAAAGGGATACGGAGCTCGGGTGGTGTGTGTGTGTGTGTGTGTGTGTGTGTGTGTGTGTAAAGGGCCGCTACCTTAGCAATCAAAACGGTTCCAGGGACCATCTGAAGGGCTTTGCAGAGCAGACCACAACTAGCAGTTAGTGGCATCGACCAGGTTCCCAGGGGCTCCAGGACCCCTCTCTGGAATCCCAAGCCAGGCTAGCTTTCCGAGTCTCAGCCAGGGTGTGCTGGGCAGCACCGACGCCCCCTTCTACCCACTCCCAAGGCTGCTCTGTCCCCTGACTATGGGAGGTGAGCCGTTCTCAAGTCCTCGGTGGAAGGAGGTTGGTTTGCAGCCCCATCTTGAGACAGGCTCGGCACAGTGGGCCAAGCCAAGTGCTGACCGACCCTCCGAAGGGTAGAGCATTGCCCATACTGCAGGGAACTTCCGGTGCTGCTCTGGCCTTGGCTGGCTGGTGATTGGGATCAGCAGCTGAGCTCTGGAGCCAGCCTGGCTGCTGGACCAGTTCTCTGGGCTGGAGCCTCTCTCTGCTGCTCCCGCACAGGAGTGTGCCTGAAATGGAGCCACACCCCTTCTCTGGGCTGGGCTGTTCATGGATGAGGGTGGCAGGGCAGTCCTGTAAGCCAGGTTACTTCCCTGGATCCCCGGGAGGCTGTGTCCCCCTGAAGGAAGGGGCTAGCCTTCCTCCCAGGGAGCTTTGAGAGAGCAGATCATCACCATCTCTGCCTGGCCTTCTCAGCCACCTCTTAGCAGGGACCAGGGATCCTGAAAGGAGGGAGAAGGGCCTATGCTTTATAGAGGAAAGACTTAAAATGGGAGGAGGGTCAGTCACCCCTAGCTCACACAGCCAGTGAGGTACAGAGCTTGGATTCCCATCTTGTTTGGGGTTGGCTTCAAGTTGAAACTCAGGGCTGAGAGATGACCTTGAAGCTACTTAAGTCTGGTCCCTCATGCACACATCCCTTCCTTAGCCCTAATATTGTATTTGTACTTTGTATTATTTTCCCTAAGGAGGCACACACACACACACACACACACACACACACACACACACACGCACACACACAGAGTGTATGAGATTTGGGAGGACTGAGGTTCTCCAGGGATGCAAGACTTTCAATACTGGAATTAGGAAAGTCTGCAGTAGCCTGCGGTGGGGTGACCACCCTAGATCTGCCCTGTCCCCAGAGCACCTGAACACCTTGGAAGACATCAGCTCTTCACTATCACCCTGACTGTGACTTTGCAGTGTGTGGGTCTAAAAACTGCCTGGAGAGTGCAGCTTGTCTTAGTAGGGAGGGGCTCACCTGCCCTGTGATCTGGGTCTCAGTCCTGGCCCACACACCCTGCACAGTCTTAGGCACCCCAGCCACCATGACCTCTAGCCCCCTGTCAGCCTCGCATCGTGACCAGCAGGCTCCCGCGGGCCTCTTGTGTGGCGCCTGTGTCGCAGCCCCAAATCAGGCCACCTTGGGTCAGGTTCTGACAGGTTTTCCTCTGGGGACTTGTGGCAATTAGTCCAGTATTGCTAAGTGAGAATCCTACTGTTGGCTGTCTGCCTGGGCATGTATGTATTCTTGCTCAGTCTGCCAATGAACCCCCTGGGCTCGTGCATGCTTCTGCACCTTTGCCTTTACCTGGCCTGCCAGCGTGCGTTCATCCACAGTCCTTGCCCACATACACATGCACATAAGCACACCTGTCCCCAAGTGTGTCCACATGCATCCATACAGCTGTCCACAAACAAGCATGAGGAGCTCCAGTCTCATTTGCAGACCCCTCTGCACACACACACACACACACACACACACACATGATCTGCATGTGATTTGCTCACAGCTGGTATGCACACATGAACACAGGCCTGAGTGTACTTGCACACCTGTCCAGGGAGGGATGGGGCCTGGTGCTCTCCAGGCACCCTTTACTGCACAGGAGATGATGAGTAGCAGATAACAGCCTTCTGGAGTCACCCTCCTCCCCACCCTGGCTAGGGGTTTTGACAAGGGTAGGGGCAGCCAAAGCAAGTCTCCACATTCTGCTTCTGCTCCCATATTCTGGGGGGAATGGAGGGAGTGTCCCACAGGCTGCCCTCTCCCTGTTATGTGGTATCCCTGGCTGCTCTGTTCAGCTGCTAGGTCAGCAAAATATCTTCTTGTGGTCTAGGGTGGTGTTTGGTACCCAGGATGGTGGCACAATTAGGGGATCTGAACAGACCTGCAGTGTCAGCTGAGTTTGGGGAAATCTGTCTTTGGGCACCATGATGTCACTTGCTGTCTTTCCCAGCCCAGAGAAGGGATAGGTCTGGGCCAGATGGATCTACCTGTATGGAAGTTGGGAGTCCCTTCTCATAGCATTGGGCTCTGAAGTTAGCAAATTAGCTGTGGGCTAAAAGTACCAGAAGTGGGATCCTGGAAAGCATCTACTCTGAACATGGCCTCTCTGAGGTACCAAGCCCTAGAACAAGAAGACTGTCTTGATTTCCTGTGACAGGAGGAGGGGTCCCTTCCCTACAGGTCTGAGTCCCCGTTCCCTGATTCTGTGTAACTGACTTCTAGATTGTAACACTGCCACGTTTTTAGGTGTAAACTCCTGAGAGAGGAAGAGAATGGAAATGTGTGAAACAGCAAGGTGACCAGCAATAGGAATGGGTAATGATTATGGCACATGAATTAATGTTCACATCTACAGACTTTTAAAACATTGATCTGGATAAGCAAAAAGTTGTGTCTTGATGTGGACAGGACTTCTCATTGTGGATATCTTGCAACTGGAAACCTCCCATCTTTATGGTTAACACTTTGCGGGTCTGAGGGCAATGCGGATTAACTGAGGTTAAGCAGCATCCGTGGGCCTAAGCCCTCTTTGGGAGAGGGAGCTGTTGATGGTGAGTCTGTTAGTTACTCCTAAATTGCTGACGTGTTTTGAGACTGCTAATAAATGGGCCAGATCCAGCCTCCACCAGTCTAGGCTAGAGCACGGGACACACCCAGACCCAGAAGCTTCTGGCCCCATGAGTGAAGTCACCATGTGGATGGTCACCATCATGCTCTGGCCTCTATGGGGCTCCAGGGTGGATTGCCCAGAGATGGGCTGGGAGTATGACATACGGCCTCAGCTTCAGTTTACAGATAGGAGTGTGGAGGCTCTCAGACATTATCTGACTTCCCTAGTGTCACAAGTGGCCATTATCTGATTCCCCAAGTCTGTCTTGTGCTCTGTCAGCTACACCAGGTATCACCTTTTCAGGGAGTCTGACCCCTTTGGTTGCCACAGAGATTATACACTCTTATTCTGCTATAGCCAGCAGCCATGTCTAGTTTCTTCAAGGGGAAAATTAGGGCAACATAAGAATTCTGCTTTTACTATTCTGAAATTATTATTCCAGATATTTGGGTTTTGTCCCCATACTCAAATAGTCTCCTTCACAAGACTTGTCCTATAGGACTTGGTCAGTCCTCTGAGAGTGAAGTTCTCCTGCCACAGAGAAGGTCCGAGTGCCCTTGTTGGAAGCTCTAAATTGCTGTGGCTTTCTGGGATGATGCTCCTTCCTCTCGCAGGGCTGTGGGCATCTCTGCTTGGGTAGCACAGGTTGGGGAGGAAGTGCAGGGCCCCAGCTCCCCAGGCTGCCCCAGGGGGCCACTGTCCGCAAGCCTGGCCTCTTCCCTGTACCCTCTGGCAGTCAGTGGCCCTGAGAAGGTGCTCCCTGTCCCCAAGGGTGAAGCTACATCTTCCTTTGGTTTGGGGATGTAATGATCTGGTCTTCCCTACCTGAGGTCCTCAGAAAGACAGGTTTTGAGGCTGCAGCCTTTCTGTGTGGCCAATTTCCAGAGGGCTCAGGTCTGCAACTGGGCACGTGGCTTTGGAGTCATTCCTCCTGGCTGATTCTCAAATACACACGTTTAGTTTTATGTGGGTTTTTTTCTTATTTTTTGGTGGGGGATAGCATTCAAAGGAGCAGAGGGAGGGATAAGAATCCAGGAATCACTGGTTTTCCAGGGCTGGTCCCTGCTGAGGGATCTCCTGGCTAGGGTAGACATCTCAGGAACCATTGTCACAAGCTTCTTCCCCACAGCCAACCCCAGCCAGCTTATCCTGGGGCCACCGAGCAGCTCTTCCTCTCCCAGCCCCACTGTGCCTCAACTGCCCTGTCCTTTCCACCTCCAGTTAGCTGCATCTGCCACACTCACATGTCCATCTGACTTGTTCTGTGCCCAGCCTCCCTGGGACCTCTAGGTCCTGACACTGCCTCAGACAGACTTAGGGGAGTGAAGCCTTTTCGTCCCCATACTGCTGTCTGGTTCCAAGTTCTGATCCAACCCTCACCTCTTCCTGCCTGGCCTTGCTGTGCCCCACCTTACCTCAACACACGCCTGCACACAGCCACAGCCACAGCTCGTGTACCACAGGCATACCACACAAACACACACACATCACACCACACAACTGTATAGACAACACATGTGCATAGAGTGTATAGACACTCCACATGTCATTCATACATAACCATACACACCACACACCCCACATCCCTCACACCTCACCCACTGCCTTTTCCAGTGGGGCCTCCCCTCTAGCCTACTTCCTGCCTCCTCCCTTTCTCCTCCATCCCCTCCAGACTCCTGTCCTCCATTCTTCCCTTGGGCTCGTAATTTCCCAGAGCCATGTCCTCCTCAGATGTGCTCTAGTTTGGTCATCTCTGAGCCCAGCACAGGCCTGACCCTTGTCTACTCAGGACTGGGTGACTGAGGAGTGATGCATAAACCATGACAGCTATTATGGTGAACACCGAGAAGTGTGCCCTGGGGCAAGATGTAGACCTCAGGCCTGCTGGATGCCAGGTCCCCAGACCCTGCAGAGCCTCTGACCCTCAGCCTCACATCTGGTGGCCCGGTGCCTCCTCCAGCTTGAGGGTTATGGGAACGGGTTTCTTGGCTCTCTTGGAGCATCAGATTAGGAGGGTGCTATGCTGGGAGATAAATGTCTGATCCCAGAGCCATCTGTTTCCCCAAGGCTCAGCTCTGTAGACCTGTGATCACCATGGACATAAACAGCCCTGAGGGCGGGGCAGGAGAGCAGGGACACACTGAGCCAGTTCCTTGTGGGCATGTCACACCTGTCTACTGCCCCCTCCAGCAGTCCTGTGAGCTCTTTTTTCACAGAAAAACATACTGCTGTTCCAGATCACAGCAGAAGTCCTGTGTGACCACACTGGGAGGAAGGGGGTGCAGGAACGTGTGTGGCCCAGGCCTCCCCTGCCTTTCTCAAATAATGGATGTGCCATACATTTTGCTTGTGTTTATTGATTATGTGTTTGCTCGGGGCTTCTCTCCATCTGACACAGGTCAGGAAGCTGGGTGGGGGGTCTTGTGCCTCTGAGGACTGCTGAGACTGAAGTCCTAGCCGACTGCCCTGGGTCCTGCTGCCCTAGTGTCTGGGGGACTTGGCATGTGTCTGAATCTGTAGCCGCTATGGGTCATGGTGGATTTGTTGACTGCCACACTGATAGGTCCTGGAGCCACTCAGCAGAGCCCGGCTTGTGTGGACCAGGACCTGGAGGGGTTCTGCACTCCGTGGTGCTCTTGTTCCTGTGATGAGGCCCTGCACAATCGCTGCTTACTGATGCTCAGGCGGAGAGAGGCGAGCTTAGGCTTCTGGTGTCATGGTCTGGGCAGTAGGTTCTCAGCTGCACGGAGGTGGTCTGGGTGCTACATCAGCGGAAGAGCCCCAGGCACTACCCAGGACTGTGGTGTTGTCTTGAGCCTGCAAGGTCTGCACAGCCTGGTGCCGTTCCCTGAGGGGAGAAGCAGCCAGCCAGGGAGAGGTGGGGCGAGAGGGAGGAAACACAGTTAGACTAATCCCCAAACTGCAGTGTCTGGAAAAGTCAAAGCAAGACCTTCCTGACCATTTCATTCCCAGCAGGGGAGTCAGGGGTCTGATGACCGGTGGAAGGCGGGGAGGATGGCAGAGGCGGTTGGGAGCCTGTTCACAACAATCATAGAAGGAAGGTCCACGCAGGGCCCCCAACTGTCCCTTTCAAACAGCGGGGGGCCAGGCTCTGCATACATTGTTTGGCAAATCAGCTCCATTATGGAAGGAATAATGCACAAGAAGGAAAGTACTCCATACATTGAACTACCCTCCACATTGCACACTCTGGAAGCTGAAGCAGGAGAATCACCACAAGTTTGAGGCCAGCCTGGTGGATATAGCAAGACCTTATCTCAAACAAACCAAAATAAAATTCAGGAAGAATTTCTACAAATAATCTGTATCTCCTATGTAGGCTAGAGAAATAGCAAATTAGTAATGCTACCTCATGATGATGGAAACATTTCTTGGTGGCAAAAGTCCAGGATTTGACAACTATGTATCAACACAAAGAAAAATGTCATGATTTAATGTTAATATATAAAAACCTGAAATGAGATATGAAGCCAGACATGATAGTGCACACCTGTAACTCCAGAAGTCTGGAAGGCAGAGGCGGGAGGATCCCAAGCTTGAGTCCAGCCCAGTCAGCTTAGTGACTTAGTGAGACCCTGCCTCAAAAAAAAAAAAATAAATAAATAAAATAAATAAATAAATAAAATAAAAAAGAGGCTGGACTGTACCTCAGTGTGAAGGCCCTGGTTTCCAACTCCAGTACTGGGGTGGGGGTGGGCAAAATTAGGTGAATGTTTTTATAAAAGAACAAAGGAGACACACAATAAGAAGGGTTATTAAGCTATGGTAATAAGATTATTATTTTTTTCTCTCTGGCTTCCAGGTTATTTCTATACACATTCCAGTGTGAAAGTTAATAACATAGAATCTGGAGCTAAATTATTTGGATTCTAAGCCCAGCTGAATTGTTTACTTACTAGCTGTGTGGGTTTGAACAGATTACTATACTTCTCTGAGGTTTGGTCCCTCATCTGTAACAATGAAGACAGTAATCATATCTAACTTTCAGGATTATTATTAGGATTAAATGCATGAGCAGGTGTAGACACTCCATCTAGAAATTGCTACATAAGTGCTAGATATACAAAAAACTAATTATCACAATCCACCTACAGCCTCATGTATTAATCATAACTAAGTGATAATATTAGTGTGATTTTCTTTGCATTTTTTCTTACTGCTTGAAAGTGCCTTAATCTTACCATAGTGATAAGCAGCAATATGCAGCAAAATTCACTCTTTTCCTTGACTAGCATGTCAGGAGAATTTTCCACTAGCATCTCTGATGGAGGCTCATAATTTCCTGACTGACTGGTCCTCAACTACTGTGGATCTGACTGCAGTTGAAGGCCAAGCAGCCCCTGCCACAGCCAGCAGCACCAGTAATGTTTTCCTGTAATTAAGGCAGCATCACTGGGCAGGTGGCTAGATGCTTGAAGAAAGCTCTCTCTCTTGCCTGTAAACTGGTAGATGTGCTCTGTTCAGCAAATCAGCCACATATAGAATTAGCTTTCAAATATGGTTTTGTTACCCTGAGCCAGAGTCCTGGGCCTTCAGTAGCTGTCTTCCCTGTGGTCCCTACTCAGCATAAGGCATAAGTCACTTGGGGAATGAGGAGCTGCTGCCATCCAGTATCTGTGAGTCACCTGGTCTGGTGGCCTGCTCAGCGAGGCCAAGTGGTCTCCTGCTGGGCCCCTGGCAAGGCCCAGCTACCTTCCTTGCAACAGCAGGGCCTGTGGTGGGCTATGCCAAGTGCTCCAGGGACCTAACCCACTGACCCCACATCGAGGTTGCGAGGTGATCTTCCCATCACACCATTTACCAGCCACGAGAGAGGCACAGCCCTAGCTGCTCAAGGTCTCACCACTCTGGGGTGCAGAGCTGAGATCCTAACTGGATGGTGCACTCTGACCCCTTCCAGGAAGCTGTCACCTTGCAGTGGCTTGTGACACACACAGGCTGCAGGGCACTTTCTCTCTGCGCAGGAGACAGTTTGTTGTAGTGGAAAGAGGTGCACAGTTCCTGGTTCCTAGTCTGCCTCAGTTGAGCCTCAGTTTCTCTATCTATACAACAGCCACAAGACCTCCCTAGAGTGGTTCCAAGAATTTAAATGAGATCTCACAGTCAGCATCCAGTAAATAGGCTTGTTTTACTGGCACTTCCTTTGCTAAGTGGTGTATAAATTTCTGCAACGGAATTTTAAAAATAGACATGGGAAAGAAACCCAGCCATTTAAAAAAAATGTTTGCTTTTTTGAGACAGGGTCTGGATACATAGCCTAGGCTGGCCTTGAACCTGTAGTGATCCTCCTGCCTCAGCCTCCCAAGTGCTGGGATTATAGGCGTGCACCACCATGCTCAGTCTTGATATCAGGACCATGCTGGTAGATTATTCCCCTAAGGTACCACATGACCACCGAACAAGCTGCCCTATGTGCACCAGGAGCGAGCAGGCCACCCATACCTCTCTGAACTGTGCTTGTGTGTGTGTGTGTGTGTGTGTGTGTGTGTGTGTAGTGGGTGGTGTGTTTCTGTGTCTCTCTGTGTATAGTGTACATGTATGAGTGTCTGCATTTATCTGTGTGTCTATATCTTGGGGGGGTGGTTGTGTGTTATCCATGTGTGTTTGTGTGTATATCTGTGTCTGTTTCCTCCTCCCTCTTCTTCTTCTCCTCCCCCTCTTTGTCTGTCTTCTCCTTTTCTACCTCGTTCTCCTCCGTCACTCCAGCCTGGAGTGCAGAGCAGCCACCAGCTGCCTCACCTCTGCCTTGCCTGGGCCAGGGCCTCACACCCTGGCATGCAAGCTTGTGAGAACCCAGCTGGCTGTGAACCAAGCATCTGGCAGCCGCGTCTGAGGCTGGAGCTCTCCTGCCTGCGTCCCTCTCCCCTTACGTAGGAGCTGTTCCTGGCCTGGGCCATCACTAGCTGGAGGGCCCAAAGGCTCTGGTGATAGCTGTGTGTGGGACTCTACCCTCCCTGTACTGTCTGCCTCCTCCCATGAAGGCCATGGTGGTTCCTGGGCTCCCACCTCTCACCCAGACCAGCGACTCCACTGTGTCAGCCTGGCCCGTGACCTGGAGCCCCAGTGTGGGCCCTGGGTGTCTGGATTTGAGTCCTTTTCATGCCTGGGTGAGAGCCTTGTGCTTCTCCACCTCTCATTGAGCCCAGCTCTGCAATTCCAGCCTGTGCTGGGACTGCAGCCTGGAGGTGGCCTGCCCACATCCCAGGGTGCTGCCCTCTCCTTCCCCAAGCTGGGGCTCCAGATCCGTGTGACTCGCAGGCAGCCAGTGCGGGTGTAGATTCTGGAGCACCTCCAGCTCTCAGCTCCTTGGTGTCTTCTGCCTATCCCAGCCTTCACCCTGCTTCTTCCCCTGCATGCACCACCCCTCCGCCACCCTTGGGAGACTCCTGACCTTTCCTCAAGTGTCACCTCCCCTTCAAGAGACCTGTGTGCCCCACATCACTTCTTAATTGCATCTTGCTTTTTTGTTTTCTCAGAGTGCTTAGTTTGAAACTATTCGTTTATTTCTTCTTGGAGGGCAGATAGCATTCCCCTAGATGCTAAGCGTCCCAAGGTCACTCTTGTTTGTGGTCACATTTGTTCGTGGCCCTCTCTGATGTCATGCCCAGGCAGGGTCTGATCAACATGTCTTTCCTGTCCCAAGGCCACCCCGGAGCCGCTCTCCCCAGCTGAGCCCAGGCAGGGTGCAGGGCTTACTTTTCAGGTTAAAGCCTGGAGCTTGGCGGCAGCAGGGCCTGGATTTCCGTATCTTGGTCCGAAGCCTTTTCCCTGTGGCTGGACACAAACAAGCACAAACCTCCTTCAGTGGGCTTGCGGACACCCTGGAGTAGGGGAGTCCTTGCAAGGACAATTTGTGTGGCTTCTACTCCCTAGGACCAGGGTTCAGGAATATTTGGTCAAGGAAACTGAAGATGAGCCAGGCCGTGGGAGGGGAAGGGTGGACCTTAGTGTATTTTACTGTTTTTTTTTTTTTTTTTTTTTTTTTTTTTTTTTTTTTTTGTACTAGGAATTGAACTCAGGGCCTTGATCTTGCCTTGCAAGTGCAATGCTACTAAGCTACAAGTCCAACCCTATTTACTTTTCTGAAGCGACAAAGTCAATGTTGGGAAATGGGAGATGACTGTGCTACCAGAAAAAGTTCTTCTCCTGCTCCCAGTCCAAGGACCAATTCAGCACTGAGGCCCAGAAGTGTCCCTGCCCTTCCGTACAGCAACTCTCCCTGTGGCAATCTAGTCTAGGAAAAAAATCCTGAATATAGGAAATACTTTACCAAGAGAAGGAGGGAGGGAAAGGGAAAGAGACATAAAAAGGAACTAAACGTTGTTATGTACATGTACCGACTCCTCAGGACAAATGTAATAATCGTGCACTGCAAACACAGGCTAATAAAAACTTTGAAAAAAGGAAGTATTTTCTATACACACGTACACAGTTCCACAGATGCAGGAGAGTGCACAGCTGTGAACATCTGAATGTTTAAGCACATAAATAATGACAGCAGGCTCCCTTGATGGCAAGTGATATATAAAAATACCAGCTGAATATTGCCATTTCCTACATCTGCCTGGAAGAGTCGTATGGGGACAGGAATCTTTATGGAGCAAAACCGTCCTTGTAGCTGCCATTCGAGTTACATTGGTGACCTCAGACCTGTCCTACAGCAGAGGCCTGATAGACGACATGCCATGAGCCACGCTCCTGACAAATTCTAATCACCACTTTTCTGAGTATATTGGCAGCACATGTTCTCTGCAGAAACCTGAGCACCTAAATACTTCTTATAATCCTGCTACTCAGTAGGGACGGTTACTGACACTCTGGTGTGAACGAGCAAGTTCAATCACGAGTATTTTTAGTGATCATATGAAAAAAGTGATACATGAAAGCAGTGTTGGACATCCAGAGTTATCAATTAAATTTAAAAAATGATTCAGGGCTGGGGATTTAGCTCAGCGGTTTGGTGGCCTGCCTTGCAAGCACAAGGACCTGAGTTCAATCCCTGGTAACCTGCAAACAAAGCCCCGAGTTTAAACCCTGAAAAAAAAAAAAAAAAAAAAAAAAAAAAAAAAAGATTCAGGCAATTTTAAAAATGTTGAACATGGCTATTCTTGAATCATGAAATTATGGGCGTTTTCCTGTCCTTTATATATTGCTATATGTTCAGCTCCAATGCTGAAATTACCATGAGGACAAAACATAAAAGTAGGCAGTTTTCTAGACAGTTGTACAACAGAAAGAGCTTGAAATACTCAGCTATTTGAAACAAGAGAGGCAGGAGAGCTAAGTATTCTCATCCGGTGTGAAAGGTTCCCCACTTCTGTATACACCCACATGCCCACACCCAGCTTCCCAGACCATGGGGTATTTTCTATGCATGAAGTTTGAGAAATTCAAACTTGCATGGTGAACTCATTAATTTATTCATCACCCAGCAAGACTTCCCTCTGACCCAAGCATGGTACAGGCACAGCAGATGGCTCCGGCACAGCAGAGGTTGTGTGTCTGGGTGGCAAGGGGGTGCTTCCCTTTGGCCCCTGGTGTGTTTAGGAGAGCTCAGGGCCTTCTTTCCAGCAGTACTGTTCAGATACTGGAGTCCTTAGATACTGGAGTCCCCTCTCAGGGCCCAGCACCCTGGGGCAGCCCTACCTTCCCCGGAGAAGATGGAGACACAGAGCAGCAAGATGCAGATGAGGCTGTAGAGGACTAGAAATCTCATGGTGAGGCAGCTGGTCTCCTGGCCTGCGAGGGAGCTGTGCTGGGTAGCAGATGGCCTCCCTCAGGGCTACTGCAGACACTTTATAGAGTGGCAGGGAGGGGAGGGGACTGGCAACTCTGGAATCTCATAAAGAGGAGAGGCTGCCCCTCCTAAAAGGAAAAGAACCAGCTTTTCAAGTCACTGAGAACATTTAATGACCTGTAACATGCTAGGCCCTGAGAGCCACCTGCTCCAGCCTCACAAGTCAGAGCAGGAAACTCATGCTTCAGGAAAGAGCTGGGATTGAACGTTAACTTTTAGTGTCAGTCATAATTCCATGCAATGCAGATCTTCCCGCTTGCTTCTTAGATGTTGCTGAGAGGATCATAAAATCCCTTGTGGAGCCTATGTCACGGTTGTGAACAATTTGACCTGGCTTTAAATCCTTGAGCTGCTGTTAATCACAGTGGTGCAAACTTGGACTTTTCTCTCAGTGTCTCTAGATGTGCTGGCCATCTGTGAAATGGGCACAGGGATGTGTACAAGCCATCTATACCAATCGGCCCTCACCTTGTTGTAAAACTATGCAGAGCAACCAGTGGTCTTCAGGGTGTAAGATAGTGATGGACTGAAAGCACTTGATTGAGGTCAGCTTGATTGAGAGGTGAGGGGAGAAAGGGGAATCTGACCAGGGCAGGTGTGGAGAAAGTCTGCCCATGTCACTCAGCTGTCACCCATTCCTGGGGGCTGTCCTCTAAGTCTCAGGCACTTGGGAGACACTGGCCATGCCTGGTATTGGGGGGCTTATGTTGGTGGAAGCAGCTGAACAGACAGGTGACCACAGCACTATAGTAAATGAGATCCATGCCCAGGGCCAGCGAGGGACACTGTTCATTCCAAGGCTGAGGAGGGACAAGATGGGCAAGACTGGGGGGATGTGGGATGTAGGGTGGCATGGGCGATCAGGCCATAGTGGGCTTCCTAGGCCAGAGGAGAAAAATTGGCTAAGGTATGAAAAAGGCAAGCATGAGGGTTTTTAGCCAAGTAGACTTGTGACATAAATGCTCAGAGCTCCCTTTCCATCAGGTACAGTCTTTGGTGTCCCTTTAATAATGGTGCACATGTGTCTGAGCACATGGAGAACTTGCCCTCACTGTGAGTGAGGGTGTTGGGTGACTCTGGGCCTAGGAGAGATGGTAGGTGGGCGTTTCCTGCCCCATCAGAAGCCTCTGCCTGGGCTGCCCAACTCCACTCCTGATCTAGCTTCTCTTCATCCCTTCAGACCCAGCAGAGTCTCTTCCTGGCACAATCTTCCCAGGCCCTCGTAGTGCCAATGCATGGTGTGACTTTTACCTTTCAGGATCCATGGATGCAGAGGTTTGGGGACACATGATCTGAGCCCAGCAGGTGAATGGAACTCAGAATCCTAGAGGGTCAGGGCAGCTGCTGTGGGCCTGGCAGGGCCTCTCTGGCCAGCTGTGAGCAATGCAGGGCCCTGCAATACCTTGAACATGCCTAAGTCCCGCTGTGGCACCTGCCATCAGGCCCTGAGAAACTGTCATCCAGGAGATGGCTGGGAGTCTTAGGCAAGAAGAATCAATCCTTGAAAAGGGAGTGACTCCATATCCCCAGGCTGATGCCAAGAAGATCAAAAGATTGAGGAACATGCAAATATGCTTCCAGAAATGAAACAAAAGGAAAATGTATGGGTGGAGTTTCCATGGAGTTGAATACAGGGTGGGGCTGTGCCTTGCTGGTATGGACAGAGAGAGGAAGAGGAGTTGGTGGGCAGGATCCCTCTTCCTGACACCAGTGGGCACAGACGTGCTTGCGCGCGCACGCGCGCGCGCGCGCACACACACACACACACACACACACACACACACACACAGAACTTAAGTCTGTCCTTGTGATGGGTTGGCCCTGTCCTTTGCCTTCAAAAGTGTGGCATTTCAGGTGAGGAACTGATGCCAGTTATTATCCTGCAAGAGCACATGGGAAAAAGCCAGGACCTGTTTGACTCACCCTGGTTCCTGGCATAAGAGTCAGACGGTCCCCGATGCCGGAGATAGGTTCATGGTGGGATTCCTCAGCCCTCCTCTTTTGCCACAGAACAAAGAGAACTTTGGCCATATGTTCAAGACTGCTCCGTGGCATATCAGCGGCCAGGAGATATTTTGACAGTCAGATTTTATGCTTTCATGTGTTTGTAGAAACTCTAAAGTTAACCCACAAAAGAAACCAGATGTATCATCCTGGGTTAGTCACTGGGGCAGCCCCAGGATGATTCTGTTAGCAGGATCTGCTCTGAGTCCTGAAGCCACAGGCAGGAGTGAGAGCTTGAAAATCCTGGGAGTGTTCTGAGCTGGTACTCAGAAGACACTTGGGCCAGCCATCGAATGAAATACAATGAAGCTGGCCAGCACCCTGCTGTTCCATAGATCAACTAAGCCAACTTTCCTAAGCTTCCCACAGTTTTTTCCAATTACATGTCTGTTCTACCTCAAGGACTGGTTCCACTATTTTAATCTGGGGAGGTTTGGGAGTGCTGCCACTAAGTTCTCTGGGCAACAGGTCACCTTGGGCTGGCACTCACTGCTACCTGTTTGTTGTAACAGATACAGTTTGCATTGAGATGGTTCTGGCTGATTTTGGAGATGGAAAGAATTCTAGTTGGCAGAGAGGGCAGGGGTGAGGCCGACCCTGAAAGCTGAACTCTAATCACTTGGTGCAGAAACTAGGAACAGACTCTTAGGGGAATGGAGAGTTGTCTGAATCTACCAATCAGCTAAACCAGGGCTTTGGTAACTTTCTTAGGATTTCTCAGCCATGGACCCAGAAATGAACTTTCAGTTTGCACCACATCTTTTTTCTTTCATTATAGGACAGAGCCCGAAGGACACTGCCTAGCTAAGGGTAGGAGGAATCAGTTATCTCAAGGGCTGTGTTCCTTACACACTTACACACACCATCCACAGATTTTCAGGTTTACCTGGGACTGTTTCAGAGGAAGAAGAGATTCCTATGTCACAATTCCATCTGCTCCCTGGCCCCATTCAGTGCTGGGGATGGAACCACGGCCTCACTCATGCCAGGCACTGAGCTACATACATACCAGCCTCTCCACCTGCTTTTGAGTTCTCACAAAAAGTACTGAAGTAATCCAAGCCCATATTAAAATAACTCAGGTTATAAAGTGTAAATTCCAGGCTCAACCCTATCCCCCTCCAGGGACAATCACTGCTCACAGATTTTCACCTGCTTTTAACATTTCAAAGATAGCTGTCAACTTCTTACTTTAAAAAAGGAAGAAACACCTCCGGCTTTTCAGAGTGTTCAAAATCTCGTGTTGAGCTGAGAGAGGTGAAAATGAGAAGCATCTTAACGGGAACACCTGTTAAATTTTAAGCGTGTGCAGCTTTGATAATAAAAAAATCTAATTGCAGGGTTTAAATGATTTCCAAAGATGATTTTGAAAACTCTTTTGGCACCTTTCCTGAGAAAGTGTCCAGAGACACACTCGAGACACTGGGGACTTCACAAAGAAAAATGATTAAACTCAAATCTGTTGTTTTTAAGAGTAGTAAGGAAGCTGCAAGAAGTGTCCCCACGCTGGATGGTGGGAGCATTTTTGCCCCTCGTCCTCTGCTTTGTGCTCTGGCAGCACACTCTTCTTCCTGTTTTATAGACCCCATACCTCATCAGAGTGGCTCTCCCTCCTTTGTTTGCTTAGTAAATTGCAGAGCAGCTCACAATGGAGGGAGCGCCAGATGTAGGTGCCAACCCCCGCTTGGCTTTGCACTGAACATGAGGCTGGCATTGACTTTCACCTTCAGCAAAGGCAACGGCTTTCTACATTTCGCATAAAAGGGAATTTCTCAGACTAGGTCTCCAAAGCTGTGGGTTCCCGGAGTTTCAGGACAGCTCACAGGCAGAGAACACTGATGTTCAGCTCATACTCCAAGCCCAGCTAATCTGGATTTATAAGCCTCCAGTGCACTGGTTCTTGCCTGCCTCTGGGCACCTGCTACTCAGATCAAGGCTCTAAGTGTGTGTGTGTGGGGTTGTACCTTCCCCTGCCACCCTTGCTGACCCCACTCTCATTGGTGCTGTGATTTTTCCCACTGTTGTTCATTCCACCTCACCCTCTGGGTTAGTCTGTCCACCACGTTCTTGGCTATAGGGCTACCCCCTGCTTTGACATGACAGCTGCCCACAGGGCTGCTGGAGGTCACCATCGCCACTATGCCACAAAGCTCTCTCCTACTCCAGGGTCCCTCCTGCTTGGTGCTGGAGCATCTGTGAAGCCAGTCTGGCTCCCTGATGGAAATAGCTTCTCAGTGTGTGCCTGTCTGGAGCCTTTTGTCTTTTGCTCCCATTCCTTCAGTCGTTTTCTCAGTGCACAATATACAATCTTTGACTCTCTGCCTGCCCAACACTTTTTAAAAAAATTCAGGGTCTAGACCAGAGCTCTGCCATGTTTGCAGCTCAAGAGGGTGTAATATGCGGAACTGTCAATGTTACAGTTTTCTGTGGCTTTCAGAAGTGGGGCACTTTTGTCACTGCCAGTATTTATTGTACGTGTGTATTATAGTCTTCGAGTGCTGTTTCAGCATGCCTAACTTAGCAGTTTCCCTAACCTTGAGGTTATGGTGAAATTATATTTAATGTCTTTCCAAAAGTCAATACTATTCCAAGACTGTTTTTTATATTTCTGGCTATTTTTGATCCATTTGTTATGGTGGGGAACCAAAATGCCCCCAAAAGCCACACTGTCAAGGGTCATTAACCCCCAGTGAGTTATTATCTCAGTGGGCTTACTGAGAGGCAGTGTCTAATTGGACCAGGTCGGTCTCTGACCCCTTCTCCTGTTCTCTTCTTGGCTGCCATAAAAAACAGCTTTCCTCTACCAGCCAACCACTGAAACCCATTAAGAATAAACATTTTCTCCTTTATGTTGTATAGGTCAGGTACGTTGTCCCAGTGACAAAAGGTGACTATTACAACCTAGTAGCCAATGGCTTAATTTCCCAATCCTGAAGAATTCTCACC